TTGAGCTCAACTCAATATATAATAGATATGAGAAAACTTACCAAAGTATTTGTACTTTGTTGATCGACCATTACATATTTTTTCCTAACTGGGAAGGCATTAAAAAGAATCCTTGATTGTATTATTCCACATAAAATAGTGAGCGTGTCATAGCCAAACATATTTTTCCAGATGTCTGCGGGATATACCACATGCAGTTCTAGCATAGTTAGTACTAACAATGGTTTTACTGAATGRAACGGTCAATTAATATTTCTTGTTTAATTATTGTTTTAGAGTGCAAATAATATACCAGTAATAGTGACAAATAGGGAATAGAGCGGATTTCGTAATAATGTGCRAAAAACACGRTACTTTCGCKCTGTGATCGTACCGTGCCGTAGCGGTGRTGTATTGTTAATTTTTTTTATTTTTAGAGGCGATTTCGTATGACCGGGAAACCGATGCTGACGTGATACGACTATTTTACGTATACGAWACGGATTCATTCKATCCTATCTTGTTGATCGCAAKAAATAATGATAATCGCAATGGAAAAAGGCTAATTTTCCCAACAAAAMMTTTAAGGGGGATTRTCAAGCAAGCAGTAAAAAAACTTCGAGTTGTGCTTKAAAATTACCGACTGAACATGTCACGCGCGAGTGCTTGAATACCCGAAAGTTTTACAAACTAATAACTTTCACACAATGAATTGCAAATATTTTCACTGCTTAAAAGTGCTCAAATAAATACAAACAAAAGCTAATTCAACTGGTTTATTTATTAAACCATCATTTTATCAAGCTGACATGAGAGACTAGGACTACATTTTCTCAAGAGATCGACCCCAATGAGGTCTCGAAATGACGAAAAAAGAGAGGAATACTGATATAATAATCTTCATATCCAAACATCCGACAGTCATTTCATAAAATTCTACTTACAAAAAACTGATTCCCATTGACATTTATCCTTAAAAGTCTTTTCTGATGGAATTTTGCCTGTCGAAAACTTCACAAAAACAGGTGGTGAGAATTCAGCAACTAGTGTTGTGTGACAAGATGACATAGGCCAATCAGGAATCACGCTTACGATACGGCAAACGCASGGTACGAAACGAACACCGTGGTTAACCAATGAACGATTAGACTTRCGATACTGTAATTTGTTCTAGGATAAAATGCCGTATTTATCCAATCTAAAATTGTACTTACGATTGTACTAATCAAAGTTTAACATTGAAATTGTCAACAAGTCAGAATTGATAAGTACGATACGTTTACGATACGGTTATGGTACGGACTCGATTCGTCATCACCGTTTCCCAGTTACACGAAATCGCCTCTATTTGGAATCCTAGAAGGTGAGGTTCCGTGACCGTGCCGTGTCCGTGTTGTGATCCGTGCCGTTACATATTCATACGAAATCCTCTCTAGTTAGTGCTTTGTCAGACAAGGAATTCAGTGAGGCATAGTATCGTGCCTTTTTTCAAGCAGAATCACGCTACAAAATCAAAACACAGCTAAAGCTAAAATAACAACAAAACGCATTCAGAGCCTTTATTCCTTTGTGCTGCTGCCTCAAAAACGACAAAAGACACAATTTAAATCTAAAAAAGAACTGCAATACGCAAGAAAACGCGTTTAAGAATCTTTATTTATTTGTGCTGCTGCAAAAGCAAGACACAAGACACATCTCAAGATAAAATAACCACGTCAGAAAACGCGTTTATTATATATATAACGAGACTTTCCTAGAGTAAATGGCATAAATAAAAATCTATATGCTCAATCATAACACATGCAGAAAAACCGTAATCAACCAATCAGAAAGCGACGTTCACAACACTGAAATGGCTTCTCTCACATACCGCTCGCTGATGGCAAAATGGCCGAAGGTGAACTATGTTTGTTGATCAAAATTCCACATTTGAAGAGTTTATTTGTGGACAGGAAGGCAAACATAACTAAAGCAAAGTAAGAAGAGATGATTTTCTTCAAGAGAATTAAGATTTTGCCATCCAGAGTGAACGTGAAACATCAGACAAAACTATTATAAACTTAAACAAACACTGAGAAATTTGTCTCGTTCGTGTTCACTGAGTTCAGGTCGTTTTATACCAAATTTTGATCGTTTTCTGCAAAAATTATAACTAATCTCCATGCAATATAGAAAGACAGAACTTTAGTAAGACAGGAGATGTACCTGTAGGAAAGCAAAATCAGCTCAAATGAAGTGGGAAATTGCAGCGCATTATATATGTCACACTCCGACCAAGACTAAGTAACTTAGGTTCTTTCTCGACGAAGAACTTTTAAATGTTGTCTTAACCTGTACTTACTATAAAATCTCACTAAAACTTGTACGTTCTCTTGCAGCTTCAGTTGAGTTTTTACGGATAATACGGCTATTAATTTAGTTATTTATTTGTAAGCCTTAMGTTTTATCAAGAGTATATTATCTGTGCATTTTTATCTGCACAAGCTCATATTAAGTTTGCTTCTCATAATAGTTGAACAAGCTTATCAAAAAGTATGCCGAATGAAAAGTCTCGTTATGTATATGTAATAAACAGCTTATAGCAAGGAAAGTCCTTTGTACGGTATTTTATTCACTCGTTGTTTGCATCATAAACTCACTCGCTCGTTCGTTGTATGATGCAAACAACTTGTGAATAAAATCCCGTACGTCGCACTTTCCATGAATTAAACTATATTTATCAGTCTTTATCTATTTGTGGTGCAGCAAAATCAAGACACAAGACACATCTAAAGCACATGCACTTTCGCGGCTTACATATTTCTCAACTAATTAGACTTAGGCAAGACTTAGCAACTAGTCTAGTTAGAAGTTAGTTACTATCTATTTCACGGGTAAATATTATTTGTACTCTAGTCGACTTTTTCTCTGAAATTCAACTCTAAAMTTATACTACAGAAACAATTATTCGYCTCGGCCTCAGTGAATATWCGTCTCRATATGTGAATATTGGKTTGTGTCATAGYTAGTCATGGTTGTGTAAAAAGATYGCTCTAACAACGTAAAAAAGTAGGTGAAACATCTAACGACGATACGAACGGTATTTATTTCACCTTCGGCCAATAACTGTTTTAAAAATATTTAGCTTACCTCAAGTTGAAACGCATCTAAGACAAGGTTTGAGARACTTCTTCACTTGAATTGTTTGACTGCATGTGAATTAATGACTAGTTCACAGGTACCGCCGGTGTTGCCTGGGGGGTCTTAGCTCCCAAATGATATGGCCGCCATTTTGAAAACATTCGTCGAATTCATCTGTCGCTTCTTGAAAGTTGCCCTCTTCCGATTTAGACCCCACAATAAAAATTATGCTCTGCTGTGCCTGTTTCACACTGTGTCTGTAAACTCCAAGACTTTCAAGCTTAGCAAGAATATGAGCTTAAATTTGTGAAAATTTTATTTTGGTGGCCGGGGGAGGGGCCTCGTATCAGCCTCTATCTCAAAAAACGCACACGAGCTGCTGGATAATGGAGGTCGAAACTTTCAAAAATTATTTTGTTGTAATGTACCCCTTCCTGAAGCTCAAATATAGCTGTCAGTGTTTGTTGGGGATAGAAATTTAATTATTTGAGCGATAACGCGGAATGTTTAGAGGCATGAGTTCTTTTACGCTCCAAAATGAAGTTGTTTAAATTTGGAAAAATATATTAGTTGTGTAAATGGCAATAACTTTTCTCGTAGTAAACTCATGGACATGTGCTTTGGACAACAGTTAAACGAAAGATTAAGCTTTCAAGCTTTAGTAGTTTATCCATTTAACATTCAAATATTGTGACAAACGAGGAGTTTAAACATGGCCTCTGTGTCGCCAGAGGTTTTACCCCAAATATAGCCTTATGRAATTCGTCACATACCGTATTTATTCAGAGTACAATTCGATCTAAAGTTACAAATGATTTCAAATATTACTATTCAAACCTTGATTACGATTTACAATCTTAGTTACTTACATTTGTTTGAGATCCATAAATCTACATATTGTAATTATTCCCATGTGTTAAAACTCGTGTCAAGAACCATAGTTAAATAGAGAGGACTCTTCTCTATTAACTATGCAAAGAACATGTCGTGATTATCCCAACGAGTTAAACACACGACAAGGATCGTTCGACATTTCGTGACTATAATCCCGATGACTTAACGACGACAAAATACGTCTGTTGTTTTTCCAATTGAATGGTTTCATCATCATTTCGTAGTTATTCCAATGACTTAATCACGACAACAAGTTTGTCTGAAAAACAGCGAATTCATCATTTCGTGGTTWTTACATGACTTAAACACGACAATTTCAGACAACCTTTGTCGTGTTAAGTCATTGGAATAACCACGAAAAGTATTCACTGTCTTTCAGAYAAACTTGTTGTCGTGATTACGTTATGTATATAATCACAAAATGTGTCGTGGTTAAGTGCCTGAAATAAACCACGACACATTTCGTTTGAATGTTTGAATACATTGTTTATCAGACAAAGATAACGGTATAGACAGAGACTAATCACGAAATTCGTTATTTTTAGCCGATCGGACAAGTTTCGGTTCAATGCATTCTTGCATATTTTACATAAATTAGCTACAGAAAAATTTTTTGGGAGGAAGGAGGGAATTTTTAACGGGCATTTTAGATGCGGAGTGAGYRAGTTAAAAAAGACAAATTTCACTCGTCGTTAGTTGGGAGTAACCTTAACCTAAAAATTGCACGGGCTCACTCGCTTACAACCTTGGCGAATTCATATGCAGGCCTGGTCGCAAATCAATCACCCAGAAAATCCATCGACAACATTCATTGTACTGTAAACCTTTTAGAACTTTTGAGCCTTTCTCTACTGGCATATACATAGCAGTAAAAGTCTCCCTGCTGAAAGGTTGTCATTCGTATTCCTGAGGATCATGCGTCCTTGCACTTTGCTAAAAAGACGAGTGTTGGCCGGACTTTTAAGTTTTGGAGCTATCCTATACATGATATTTGTCGTCTATTTTGTATTGAAAAGAAATAGAAATGTTTTAGAACATTTTGATAAGTTGAACGAAAAGAACAGCAGTGCGGGCACACTACCAAAGAGACCAACACAGACCATGCCACCATTAAAGAATGGGTTTCAGCTCGTCTTTCCTCATATTGAGCCAAAACTTTCTCYCGAAGATCAAATCCTTTATTTAGTTGTAATGGTGACCAGTTCAGCGAAGGGTGAAAATCATAGAACTTTGCGAAAAACAATCCGTCAAACGTGGGGTGATACAAAACTATCAGATARAAACACCCCAAAGTGGAAGATGTTCTTCTCTCTGGCCATCAGTGATAATCAACAAGAAAATGAAGCGAACGAGAAAGAGGCACTCGAATACAATGATGTGATCATAGGAAACTTTACAGAAAAATACGAAAACCTTGTAATGAAAGTATTCATGGGTCATTATTGGGTCATCAATAGATTGTCATGCAGGTATGTTTTATTTTCACCGCTATGTTTCCGCAAAATCACTGGCGTGCGTTAAACTAAACACTCCATTCCCCCGGGTACCCGTGACTAGGCCTTTCTTGAATATACACGTTCTGCAGTTCAGCGTATTTAAGCTCGAATACACTCGAATTCAAGGCTTCTTTCCATTTTCGAAACACGAAGACGCCGTTTCGACTTTCTTGTTCTTGTCGCCGAAGCATAGCACAGATTACCAATAATGCCGCCCTGAGTGCTCGAACAGCTCCAGCCATCCTAGCTTATCCTCTAGCAGCACTTCGACTAGAACTTGGAACAAATTCTCAGCGGCTCCGGGCCAAGCATACAGAGCCCAAGCAGTTGGAAACGTGTTTGTGAACGCTGGAAACCGTCCTAATGGGGTATAAATGTCCTTTTCTCTTATCCACCATTATATTCTGTTCGCCATAGTTCGGTACTCGTTTTCTGGCTATCGGTTAGCGTTTTATTTACATGCTTTCGTAGGCCATATGTTTCGTTTGAGTTCGGCTCTCAGTTAYGCTTCATAATAATTTACACGTTTTACAGCCGTATTACACAATTTTGCACGCGGAACAAACTAGGTTCGTTTCAACCACGGGATACTTTGTTTAGCCTTTATCGACAAGAGTGCACAGGAATTATAGTATTATTTTATACAGTTTTTACACCTTTTGCTGTTCATTAACTGCGAAGGAACTTTCAATCAAACGAAACGGCATTGTATTTAGCGCGAACGAACGTTCATTAACAGTTAGGGAGTTTCAAGAGCGTGAAGGGAGAATCATTCACTACAACAAACATACAATACCAAAATACGGACATTTAATTTCGTCATAGTTTTTATTTCTAGGATTTAAAGAGTGTTTAATAAGTGTGTGATATTTTACATACAAAAATTATCTTCATCCTTGAATATGCCCTCTATCTAAGCATCTTGGTAAATAAGTTTGCATATGGTTGTACCACTGGACTGCTTTTTGAGGTGTTATKGCATTAACGTTTCTTGTGGCAGCTCTGAGTAGGAGTKGTTTTCTCCACTCGCCAAGTGGAAGGCCTTGTCTTCTAGCTTCGTCTCTATTATTCATCATGCGCTGTTGTGCTGGCTGAGATAAATGAGCTTTTATAGCTGCTTTGAAACAGCTAACAGCCTCTTCAACAATGTTGAGGAATGGGCTGTATGGAGGTAGTGGTTTGAGGTGGCTGTTAGGACCTGGGTTGTTTGCGTTTCGATGGGCTGGCGCATTGTCGTAGATGAAATAAACGTTACCATTAGCTGGGAGTCGTTGGTAAGTATCATTTAAGAAATTGGCAAACCTCTGAGCATTCATTCCTCCTATTTCTGATGGACTAATCCAGTCCTTGGCGATACGGCCAGAATACAGGTGACAKTCCGCCCTTGTTGTCCACAAACCTGTCTGTAGGCCCGCTGTTGTGTTTTCAGATAGGGATGGATTACACTAGCTTGGTTTCAAGTACATT